TGGTTGAAGTTTTAAATAATCTCTGTTGGATTTATTTTCCAGAGTGAGTTCCGCCTGGCTTTGATATCAGAGGAAAGAATTTGGCCAGGAAAATGAGCCTCACAAAATTAAAGGACGCACATATGTATTTACCGGAAGTTTATTAAAGAGAAAGAAACTTCAGTATTTGGTTGGGCCTTTTGCAGTACATTGACTAGCAGGTGCTTCTAGATGTGTTGGGTGTAACAAAGACACAGCATACTAGACAGGGAATTTGACATTTCCTAAATGGTGTTGAAAGGTAGGTATGCAGTGATGAGTTTAAACTAAAAAGCAGAGGGGCATCTGGGTGGCTCAGTCAGTTGAGCATCTGACTTTTGATTTCAGCTCAGGTCATGATCCCAGGGTTGTGGGATTGAGCCCTGCATTGGGCTCTGTGTTTAGCATAGAGTCTGTTTAAGATTCTCTCTGTCCCTCTGCCCCTCTCCCCCTGCTTGAATGTTCTCTCTCTAAAGAAAAGAACAAACAAACAACAACAACAACAACAAAAAACAAAAACAAAGAAAAAACCTTAAAAAGCAAAGATGTTTGTAGGAAGATTTGGGAGGCAGAATAATTGGGGAGTGACTTAATTTAGTAGTTACTTTGGGCAGCACCTTATAGTGTATTGATTCACATTAGTACTCTGATGTTGACTATATAAGACATAGTTTTATGGAGATGAAAGAGATAGAGGATGAAAGAACAGAAATTCTGATCTATCAGAGAACAGAGAGAGCCCCGTTACATGGTGGCTTGGTGTCCAGAGACTAGAGAAGGCTTCATATTCAATGTCACGTTTGAATTGGGTCCAGAAAAATTATCACAAGTGAACACAGGTGAGTAAAGGAGGTATTGTAGGTAAAGAGCATCATGGGCATGAGAGTCAGAAAGCAACTTCAGGTACTTACTGATAGGTAGCAATTGAAATGATTTTAAGTTCCAGGTAAGGAGTTTGGCCTTAATTCATTAAGGATTGCTGATCCATTGAAGGTTTTGGAACCATGAAACTCATTGTTTGATTTTATAAATCCTTATCCAGAGCATTATGTTAGGCTTGGCAGCTCAGCTGTGGCAGTGGCAGGGTCTAACATCAGTGACAACAGGTGCTATCCTCTGACAGTCAAGATCTAACCCTTAGTCTCCTTTCAGGAAGCTTTTCATCCCAATAATAGTGATGATAGCTACAACATATTGATCTATTTCTGCATTGTATGCACCATGCTAAGTAACTCATCCTTACGGTAACTCTCGTGTGTGTGTGTGTGTGTGTGTGTGTGTGTGTGTTATTGATTCCTATTGCAGAGGAGGAAATCGAGACTTAGCAGGAGTTAGATACCTTGTTTCACATCACACAGGCAAGTAGCAGAATTAGAATTTGGACCCAAGGCCATCCTGTTCCAAAGTTCATTTTAGCAAAACCACTAAACGCAGCCCTCTATTGCTTCTCAACTAATGTTTTGCTGCCAGGATACCTTCCCCTTGAGCCTTGCTGCATTTGGCATGCTTTGTGTTTGCCCCCAGGGTAGATTCCTCCTCTGTCAGGCTCCCAGTTTTCTTATTAATACTGCAGGTATTCCAGGCCAAGGAGGATCATCTTTAACGGAACTTGGCGCATGTCTGTTATGACCTTTATGTGTTTGTCGATTTACATGTTTTCATGTACTACAGTGGGGCATCTCACACCTGTTGGTGTACTTCTGGCTTAGCTGTGTGACCTTGCATAAGCCTGCTGTGCCGGATCTATAAAATGCTAGGGTGAGCTGTATGACCTCCGAAACCCCTTCTGTCTTGGGGATTAGGCATTAACAAAGAGGCAATAAGTGGCTGTGGGATTCATGGAGGCTCCGGGGAGTGTTGTCAAAGGGACCAGTCATTCTTTTCAGTCTTGATTCCTGGTGTCACTCACTCTCAATGTGAATTATGTGGACACACTTTCTAATAATCCGGCTTCACGGACCTGGAGTTCTGCTTGACATCAGTGAACTGCAAATGTGGCCGTATCCTTGGAGCTGCTTGAATTTAGAGCTGCTTGCTCCACGTTCAGAGTGGTCTCCTTGTTCACTTTCTGCGCCTTTTGCACCTTTGAACACTGCACATCCTACCCCCACCCC